CACAGGCAGATATTCTCCTACAAACCCTGGGATGCATCATTCCCAACAGGATTCTCTGGAACGTGTGTTGGCTCAAGACCAACTAACACAGACTAGTTGTGATACGTGACTGTAAATACCTGCTCCAATCTCACGCCAAGGCCAGCTGGACAACAAAGTCCTGGGAAAACGCTCCAGGTCAGTCTCAGCCCCACCCCACACAGAAATACCCTTTATCCCGGGTTGGGAGGGGCTCTAATATTAAACTCCCTTTAAACCATTCACAGGGATTATATGTCCATCTGCCAATCAGTCAAACTATAGATAAAGGACCTCAGATGTTAGCTGTTTCTCATATTATAGTGACTTCGATCTTGAGAGGCGCTATAGAAATCATTCTGTCTTAATAAAAGACGTAAAGGTGGCAAGTGGAACTGCAAGACCAGTAAAGTTTAAAAATTCTGGTTTTATGGATCCTGTTTTAGATCAAAAGTAAGGGACATTAAAGGACAAGAGCTACAAACAATCTAAATGTCAATGATGTGTCTCATCCTCAGAGGCCTCACCACACAGAAATGTAGAGATGACCACAGGAATCTATTCAAAGTCACAATAAAACTACATAAAAAAAAATAGTTGTTTTAGGGATAAAATATGATCAAAGTTAGGTTTAGACAAATGTTTCAGGCCACTGAAGGATTTAGTTGCTCGTAGAAGCTGAAGAAGTTGGGGGTGTGATCAGTCACAAGGTCACGAAGGAGACACGATAACTAATCCCCCTGAGGAGATGATCAACAGTCATAAAAACCGCTTCATCTTGAACTCCACCCTCTTCTTCTCTGCTTATAGAGCGGGTGCCAGAACCCCCGATAGAATGTGACACACACACAAAGCCCCCCTACACCCCTCAGGGCTCATTAAAGGCTGCATTGTTTCCCAAGAGGTCAGCCCGGGTTCCATTCCAAACACAAGCCAGAAGACACAAGTCCACCATCTTAAAAGTCCCGCTCAGAGACAAAGACAAACAGTCCTGCTTCTCTTTGCTGCTCCCAAAAGCTCCAAGCAAACATTTCAGGTACATGAGATCTGATCAGCGATCGGAAGCCCCTCCAAGCTACCGCCGTTCCCGCACAGCATCATGCTGAGTCAGGTCGTGGTCCGATCTTCCTGTTGGACACCATCAGCACACAAAGGACAAGGTAGAACTCAGAACAGGACCTGCCACTCAAGGGGTTTTGTCTCAGGCTTTCCATCACAATCATGTCCAGCTGAGACAGAGAGCGGGGGTTGCAGGAATCTGCTGTACTTTTCCGCTGCCTCCACCACCACCACCACCCCCTCCCTGCCTCTCCCTACTTCCTCCCACTTTCAGCTACCCTGTGGGACTGAGATCCAGCATTTCCAGCAGCCGTGATGCTAAAAGAGGTGAAACTGAAAAACTAGAATCTGGTGCAAAAGTCCATTTATGTCAGAGACCGAGAGACCATCTAAAGGTCCAAGAACCCTATACCTGTAGCTGATCCGAGTGTGACACTTTGAGTCTGGAATAGAGAAACTTTTCATAATATTCTGATTGTCTGAGATTTTGAATGTGGGGTTTTTATCAGCTGTCAGCCATAATCTTCACAATTATAACAAATAAAGGCTGAAACATCTGGACTTGCATGGAATGAGTCTGCCTCAGATTAGTTTCACCTTTTAGGTTGAATTAGTGACATAAATGAACTTTTGCAGCAGATTCCACTTTTCCCAGTTTCACCCGTATTTAGAGGCCAAGGCTCCATGATAGGGGTAGGGCAGATATACCTTCTTAAAGCCAGGCACTTCCACGGGCAGCCCAGCACTTTTGCAGAACTGAACTTAAATAAATGTATGCTCCTGAGTAGCCTCTGCATAATAGAGGCTCTAAGAATTATTTTAAGTTAAAATGTCTTTCTATGTACCAGTTTTGGATATTTAACACTTGGTTTGTGTGATTACCTTTAGTTAGATCTCTGATTGCAACATTAAGATTTAACAGTTGATTTAATTCAGAGTATAAAACCTGAATCAGCTTCAGAAGGATCGTGCATCAACTGATGTTATTAGCAACCTTTTAGCATGAAGATAATGTGAGGTAAACATCTAGATATCGCCCATGAATATCTGCCCAAAACATCGGCAGCAAAAAATCAGCCATCGGCTGACCATGACCTCTATGTATCAGCAATAGAAAACCCATATCGGTCTCTACTCCATGAGAGTGTTGACTCTGTCCACATAAGATCCACCTGGTCCAGAGCTTTGGTGACCTGACGGGACAAGCTGTCGTTCAGCTACAGGTCGTCATGGACACGAGGTGGTTTGTTTGTACTCCCTAAAAAACTTCCACAATAAAACACCAGCAGACCAAACGCTGACCCCTTCAGCTAGGAGCTCCTCTGGGTTTATCCAGACATTCACTTGTGTTTTGAAATGTCTTTCAGATCATTTGGCGACAATAGAAGTAAGTCACATGACGCTAGGAGCAGGAATATCGCCACTGTAGGTTCTGAGACCTCACCGTCTACAGCAGCAGCTGCTGTTTGCCGTGTTTCTACTGTAGAAGGCTGAATGTGATCGTCGGACCCTTGCCGCCTTACTCACGCCATAGTGATGCTATGCTAACAGACACTCACTGATTTAGCCTTTTGAGTTTTAAATATTTTGTTCCTTTTGTTTGTGAAGCTGGACAGTTGAGGCGTTTTTGCCTGAGGCTGCTGTTACCGAGGAAACGGTGACGGCAGCTCGTTACAGCTAAACACATTGGTGTGTGTGGCAGCAGAGCGGCAGAATGCTGCACCCTGCATGTTGCTGGATGTGTCATCCTAGGCGTGTTGAAAACATTTTAACTTGAGCTCTGTGGCATTATCAGTCAGAAAGGAAGTGTGTGTGTGTGTGTGTGTGTGTGTGTGTGTGCGTGTGCGTGTGCGCGTGCACGTGCGTGTGTGTGTGCGTGTGCGCGTGTGCGTGCGTGTGTGTGTGTGTGTGTGTCACTGTGAACAGATCCCCTCTGCTTAAACATTCTTATTTTAAGAGACAGCCCTAGCTTAGGTGGAGCGGGGGTTGTCCAGTAATCAGAGGTTGTAAGATCAATCCTAGCTCCTAGGGCAGGACACCTCCCCTGCTGGTGGTGGTCAGAGGACCTCTGACTCTCTCCAAACACATCAAGTGATTGCTCAGATGAACGTGTAGGCAGTAGCATAGGTGCTGTTGCTGAAATAGTGTACTCTCTCCAAAGGCCTATGCTGTAGCCTATCCCTCCATTTTGTTAAATGTTGCACTGAAGCTGCAGCTAGCATGAAACAAGCTACTTCCCTGTCAGCAATCGTATTTGTTTTAGAGCCAAACGACGCAGGTGCATTTGTGTCCGTCTCCTGCAGCAACGGCCTGGGGAGCAGGAGTGGTCACCTCTTCAACCTGACCTGTAACTGGCTTATTTTCAACAGGATCAGATACATTAAAGCTCAGACCAAGCCTGTGTGGAGGTCTGAAGCTTCCTGTGTGTGGAAAAGAACTGGACCAGTATCTGCTCTAAATGGACCTATGTGGTCACGATATTGACAAAAGGAAAACAGCCTGAAAGTGGCTGAGTCCCACCTGTTATCCAAACTAAACGAGTAAAACAGAAATGCCAAACAAACCGTTGCCTAACTGCGTGAGTCTGGTGCTTTCTTCTGATGAATCCAAATGTGTGTCATCCGGGGTTGACCAAACTTTCATGCTGACTGAAAACAATCATTAAGATGAACCCTACATCTAAAATGCATCAGATAGTTGAGTCCTGTGACTGCCTGTGTGTTTGTGCTGGGGGGAGGGGTGCAGTTGAAACAACACACCCTTGAAAGACAAAGATCTACAACATGATGGACCTGACGGTTAGGTCTGACAACGAGGGCTGCTAAGATGGATTTGTTTCAGTGAAATTAGAGGAAAAGACGCATGGGCAGCAGGAATGAGCCTCCTCCGTCATTGGCTATTTATAGAGGAACTCTAGAGTCACAGGAGTCCCTGACCTCCCCCCACAGCTACTATTGATCTTCACACATTGATCTGTCCCCCCCCAATCCTCATCGACATAAACAACCTCTCATGGAGGGCTCGTTTTGCTCAGTTTTAGCTCACTTCTCTCTTTCTCGCATAAAACTGAAGAACTTAAGGTGTTGAAGAGGAGGGGCAGCAGAAACGTATGAACCCTTTCATCTGGAGCACAAAAAAACAAGGCAGCTAGCTAAGGGATTAACATGAGGGGGAGGGGATGAATACAGTAGCACGGTTCTTTCACATGTTGGTCTTGAAGGAAAAAGCATCAGCTGAAGGACAAACAGCCAAAAGCTGCGCTCACCCTCGGGTTTAAAACCCTCAGATTCCACCCCGTTCACTGATCACTGATAACAGCTCCTTTACCATGTGAGGTAAATCTAAAGAATGAGGAGGGATCACATTCCAAACTCTTGCAATACAGGGTGTGTGTGTGTGTGTGTGTGTGGGGGGGGGGGTCTTTCTTAACTTTATTCTAGTCCCTACAATCAACATCTGACTGTGTAAAGCTGAGGTGAAGCAGCACAAAGGCAGAAGCAATCAACAGCTGCTGAAATCAAACCGCTATGTTAATGACACACAGAAGAGTCACACAGCAAGCATACAGCCCAACTCTCATGTCAACACAACACGCGATTGGTCGGATCCACATAAAAGCTGCACATTAGCATACTCTGATAATTATTAACCATTATTTTATTAACAAGGAGAAGAACCACCCCAATAAAACTCTGGATTTTTTACATGACAGTTTTAAGATTATATTATAAACTGCACTCCAGAATAACTAAAGTTTTAAATAAAATACGACTGAAATAAAAGACAACAGAAGATCACCCACCCAAAGGAAGGACCAAAATAAAACCCAAAAGCATGAACCGGAGCTCTGCAGAGCCACTCACACACCACTACACCCCCTCTCATTCAAACCCATTTATGGTCCTGCTCACAAAGACTTTTACCTTCCCATGTATCCATCTCATGCTTCTCCCAGTCTGCCTGGACCCCATTCAATCAGAAAAGCAGCTGAAGAAGAATGGGCCCGAGCTCCTCATGACGTTTCTGAAATCTCCCTCTGCTCTCTCTCAGCAACCTCTTTCCACCACAGCCTGGCTCTCTCTGGCCACGACCGGAGCCCAACACCACTGGTCACTTTATGGCTTGGTCACATGACCCAGAGAGTTCAAGCCCCTGAGGTCACCACTTGGCCCGAGGTCCAATGACAGCTAGGGTTATCTGAGTGGAACTGATAGTCCTATTTTCTCTGGCGCTCAACAATAACCCCCACCTCCCAACCCCTCACACAAATTAGCTCCCCCAGCCATGCTGCTGGCCTTTCTGAGGAGGACCAAAGTGCATGCCCAAGCATTAGTCTTCCCCCGAGCACACATCACTGAACACTGAACTACAGTGGTACAAGCTTTTACCTCACACAGCTGCATGAAATGACGTTAACCAACATTAAGCTGCAGGGAAATTAGATGTTTACATCAAAACAGGTGGTTACCCTGATGTTTACAAGTCTGTGCGTGAGTTTCACAACTGTTGTCAGTTACGAATCAGTAAGACGACTCTAGATGAGGAGCAAAGACTTACACAGTAAGTTGATAAGTAGATGGTAAATGGCCGTTATCTGATTTAGGGCCTTTTAAATGGCGCCTTCTTAGGGTTCTACAACCCCCCCAAGGCACTTTACAACACAATCAGTCACCCACACATTCACATGCTGGTGGGGATGAGCTACAATGTAGCCACAGCTGCCCTGGGTCGCAGCGACAGAGGTGAGGCCTATACCAAACAGACGCCACCGGTCCTCCCATCAGCAGGCAAGGAGTGTCAAGTGTGTTGCCCAAGGACACAACGACCAACTAAGTGGGGATCAAACCTGCAACCTTACAATTACGGGGAAGTCACTATACTCATCTTTTCCCATCGTCAAGAAATACATTTCACTGGAATATCGAGTTGTTTGTAATTGAAATGCTAACTTGAGATATGTTCAGAGCCAACTAGTTATTTCTAGTTCACCATTAGCATTGTTAGCTCAATGTTAGCCTCTAGCTTCCTTTACCTGATATTAGTGTAACACAGAAAGGATGCCATGGCTTTTTAGGGTTACAAAAAATAACTTGTGGGTTGCTCCTGGTTACTGGTTGACATTCTGTCAACACATCTGGTGCTTTTGCTGGGCGGTGTCACATTAGGCTTGCATAAATGATTCAATTTGCTGAAGAGGCCAGGGGAGGGACTTGAAGGAAATAGAAATCACGAAAGTATTTTTTTTTACTTTATATCATAGAACAGTAATTGATAGTAATACTTAAGCATTTTCTAAGTTTGACATCAACAGTGAGCTATACTTGAATTGATAGCTGTGACATCAACAGTAGTGATTACTCTTAGCACACACTTGGGATGTGCTTGTTGGAACGTTGAAAACTAATGTTTACACAGTAGTTTCTGAGGGACTTTAGCTGCTCTCCATGCAAACTGACACCTACCTCAACTTAAGTTAGTCAATAGGAAAAAGTGTTTCATTTGTCTTCAACAGCAACTGAATTACATTTCCCCTAAAAATGCCTGACAAACGCTCTGTGATGCCTTTGGCATCATTAAGTTTATGATGCGGAAAAGTTTGATTCATAAGATCATGAATAGTAAAAGTGAAGTCATGTTAAAAAGATTAAAATGTTTTGTGCTTTGAAAACAGATCAAAGTAAAACATCCCTGCTTTAAATCATCTTTGACTTGGTGAGTTTTCTTACCTATAACTATTATAACTTTAAATACAAAGTCACAATAATCCCCTTTAAATAATGGTCATTACATTTTGATTTCTGTGGCTACTGAGTTGTTGAATTGTTTTTCACTCACGTGCTTTTAGGTTGGTAAATATAGTTAGAAGAGAAATACTGAATAGGAAAAATAAAAGAAAAAGCAGACACGGGAAAATAAAACAGGTTTCACCAGCCCCTTTTAACTAGAGCTGGTGGAGTTTGATATAAACAATGATGCTGTATCACTGTTCCAACACTGGGTGGTGGAGCGGCTAATACCAGTCATAACCGGTCGAGCTAAACACCCGTCAGCAGCTGATTCCCACAAAGGATCCATCTCCTGATCTTTCTTACTGCTTCACGAGACATCTGCAGTTGAACGTAAGCAACATTTTAAACCATATAAAATGTTTTTCTGGGGTGGGGGGTTTATATTTTAAAAAGTCAACAAAGACACATCTAAATTTCAATGGCAGCTTTTGAAAAAACCTGAAATATGGCCATAATTTTATAAAGCATGGGGGGGGGGGGGGGGGGGGGGGGTGTCCACAAAAATAAACAATCAATGATGACCAACAGTCTGCTTCTAGACCTGCAGAAGGACAAAAAAATAAATAAAGATAAGGGACACACAACAGTACAACAGGAGCAAGCTATCGCTGCGTCAACCCGATGACGAAATACAACATCAACATTGTTTTACTGAACAATCACGATAATAAATCAAAGTGCATTTAGTGCCAACCACAGAGCCCACCAGAGCCCAAGGACTCAGATCCCGCCAGGCAGCCACCGGGATTAATCAGGCAGACACCAAAAATCTTAAACCCCCTGACCCGGGAGCCGCGAACACTCAAGGTTGGTTTATGCTTGACGCGTCCGCGAGGTCTGCACGGCTCCACGCGGAAAATTTGCGTAATTTTAACAACCACGCCCCTCCACCGCGCCTCCGCACAGCCCAAACTTTCCGCACCGCGCACCTAGGAAATTTTGTAACCACGCGGATGGTCGGACGCGGAAAAACATGGCGGACTGGCAAGAACTAGTTATGGCAGAGGTTCGTAAATACAGGCATTTGTATGATTCAGCTCTCAAAGATCACTGTGATCAACATGCTGTAAATAGGCTGCATGGTGGCGCAGTGGTTAGCACTGTTGCCTTGCAGCACGAAGGTTGCAGGTTCGAAACTCGGCTGCGGCCTTTCTGCGTTGAGTTGCGTGTTCTCCCCATGCATGCGTGGGTTTCCTCCGGGTACTCCGGTTTCCCCCACAGATCACAACATGCCATATAGGCTATAAATTGTAAGTCGCTTTGGATGAAAGTGTCTGCTAAATAAATAAACATAAACATAAATAATTCTAGGAGAGAAATAGCTCGCACAGTCGGAAAAGACGAGGACGCTGTGAAAAAATGCTGGAAAAACATGAGGGACCGATATGTGAAGGCAAGGAAGGGGAAAAAAGGGAAAAGGGGTGGTCCTGGTGGAAACCACAACACTCCACCAATTCTAAAAGAGCTGAGTTGGCTCTCAACTTTCATTAAACATAGAGCAACAGAGACCAACGTGACATCAGCCGTGGTAAGAAAAGTTATTTTTCTGTGAAGGTTTAAGAAATGTGTCTGATCACAGGATTCATAGAAAGACTATATTTTTTCTGTTAATGTTGAATAACAAACAGCTTAGATAAAATAAGTATATGTTCATTTTATTTTATTGATTTTAAAGGTTGAGGAGGAATCACAATCAGAGGCAGATCTCCTCCAGTCTGATTCCCCACCCTCCCCTGTCCCAATGCCGTCTCCTTCATTATCATCATCCATTTAACCTGAAATCAGCACAATATGCCCATGCACCCTCCAAGACACATTTTCCAACAGTTGTCCAATGGAAAAGGTCTTCTCCTCTCCAGGATCCAGTGGTGGTATGTGCAGTTGTACTTAGACTTAGTTAATTGGAAATGTATTTTAAAATATTTACAAAACTGCTTTTCTGTTCAGGTTTAACCAGTGTCTTAACGAGTCCAGGCCCAGCACCAAAGAGGAGGAAGAAGATGGATGACGTTTTGCTCAAAAGGCTTGACAGGATTGAGCATGACAAAGCTGTCCTAAATGACACAGAAGACATCAGATTTGGACATGTTGTTGCTGACTTGCTTGGAAAAATACCATCTGAAAAGAAAATGTCAGTCCAGTTCAAAATCTACCAGCTGCTGTATGAGGCGATAGAGTCAAAAAATTCACAGTAGATTTTTTTTATGGTTTATTTTTTTATTTTTTCATGTGAATTAACTCAGATTGAGTTACATGTCATTTAAGTTTACAAGATCCCAACCTTGAACACAATAAATGGTGTGATTTAACACATTGAGTTGAGCTCTATTCCTTGTTGCCTAGAGAACTGAATAAACTGACCGCAGAATTGAAAGCTGTTGTTTATGTTCATGTATTTAGCAGACGCTTTTGTCCAAAGCGACTTACAAGTGATAATTGGCATGTTGCCCTTGAGGCTAACAACAACAATAACAACAACTTGACATCAATCATGGAGAGGAGGGAACAAGGAGTGGACAGTAGAGAGGGGGGACGGGTGCAGGGAGGGTGCTAGTTTAGAAGATGCTCTGTGAAGAGCAGGGTCTTCAGGAGTTTCTTGAAAATTAAAAAGGAAGCCGCAGTTCTGGTAGTGCTTGGAATGTCATCCCACATTTGTGGAACGATGCATGAGTCTGGATTGTCCTGAGCGTGGTGTAGGCACTGCTAGCCGATGATCCTGTGATGACTGGAGCGGCCGGGCCGAGACGTAAGCCTTTGCAAGAGGATTCAGGTAGATGGGAGCCGTACCATGTCAGACTTTGTATGCTAGTGTTAGTAATTTGAATTTGATGTGTGCTGCTAGCAGTAGCCAGTGGAGCGCAATGAACAGAGGGGTGACGTGTGCTCTTTTTGGGTGATTGAAGACCAGACGCACCGCTGCGTTCTGGACCATTTGAAGAGGTCTCACATTACAGGCTGGAAGACCAGTTAGAAGGGCATTGGAGTAATCGAGGCGGGAGATTACAGTAGATCGCACCAGGAGCTGGGTGGCATGTTGTGTTAGGTATGGTCTGATCTTTTGCATGTTATACAGCGCAAAGCGGCATGAACGGGCAACAGAGGCAACATGATCTTTAAAGGTCAGGTGTTCATCAATCACAACACCCAGATTTCGAACTGCCTTTGAAGGAGCCAGAGATAGGAAGTCATTTTGGATTGAGATATTGTGCTGTATGGATGGTTTTGATGGGATGACAAGTAATTCAGTTTTAGAGAGGTTGAGTTGGAGATGGTGGGATTTCATCCATTTTGATATGTCAGAGAGACAGTTTGATATTCGTGCAGAGACAGTGTGGTCGTCCGGTGGAAATGACAGATAGAGCTGGGTGTCGTCTGCATAGCAGTGGTAGGAGAAGCCATGTGATCGAATGATCTCACTCAGCGAGGTGGTGTAT